CACCGCATATGTGCGGTTCAATTATCGCTTACCCCAAAAGCCCAGAACCGCATATGTGCGTATCTTGGAAAGATCGTCTTCTGTACTCTTTTGTATCGTGAGTCATGAAATGATATATAGTTTAACATCCGGGTATGTTTCTTGTCTCTCATTGCCACCATTTTTAAAGGCGATAGAAATATATATGAGCGAAAAAACGGCGATTTTCAATACTTAGTTGGAGAAAGTAAAATCAAGATGGCGGCTCCTCGCTACGGTAGGGACCTGCGAAGTGATACTATTATTGAAATGATTGAAAACCCGGACTTTGATGAGAAGTTTTCGTGTGACAGTGACATAGACAGTGACGATGATATTAATTTATTTATGATATAAAGGACGATAGAAATATATATGAGCGAGAAATCGGCGATTTTCTAGACCTAGCTGGTGAAAGTAAAATCAAAATGGCGATTTCTCACTAAGGCAGGGGCCTGCGAATGAATACTGTTATTGAATGATTGAAAACTACGACACTGATAAGGTGTTTTCGAGTGACAGTGATATAAACAGTGGGGATGATATTCCTTTATTAATGATATAAGTTTTAAATATGTTTTTGTCATAGATGGTGTTAAAATTTGACTTCTATTTAGCTCTGGCCACGATGTTCAGGTGAGCTGAAAAGCTGGCTCAAGTATACCTGATAGCAAAACGAGCATAACTTGAAAATTAATAGAGATAACTTGCTGAAATTTCCTGGATTGAAAGTTACTATAATTGACATCATCCCCGTGAATTTTCAGGCAAATGTATGGAGAAATAAAAAATTGATGTGCATAAGATAAATCAACTTTGTTTTTATTTCACCCATTACCAAATGAAAATGTAGTTTTTAACCGGCCATAACTCTTGATACTGCATGTTGAATTTAAATGTAATTCTATTTTAATTTAACTTGAAATATTGGCTTTTTAAAAATGTACACTATGTATGGGTAATAAAGGCTAACAAATAAATGATGGTCAATTTACTGAGGTGACCCGGCTTTTCAAGGCTAGCTCACAGAATTAATTGGGCACAGCAGAACTTTATAGGTCAGCATTAACTGGATCCTATGGGGCTAAGCTAGAAGAAAGAACAGATCATTATCGCCTCTCTTTACTTAGGAACAATAACGTTGGCTAGTGGCAGCATTTATAAGTTCTTTTAATTCATTAAATATAAACGGTCTTTTCTCGTCCAATGGGTCTGGTATAGTTGTATTGGCCTATCAGCTGGAAACACGNTGTTATACCTGATAGCAAAACGATCATAAGTTGAAAATTGATAGAGATAAATTGCTGAAATTTCCTGGGTTGAAAGTTACTATAATTGACATCATCCCTGTGAATTTTCAGGCAAATGTATGTAGAAATGAAAAATTGATGTGCATAAGATAAATCAACTTTGTTTTATTTTAGCCATTACCAAATGAAAATGTAGTTTTTAACCGGCTATAACTTTTGATACTGCATGTTAAATCTAAATCTAATTCTATTTTCATTTAGCTTGAAGTATTGGCTTTTTAAAAATGTATACTTTGTATGGGTAATAAAGACAAACAAATAAATTATGACCAATTTACTGAGGTGACCCGGCATTTCAAGGCTAGCTCACAGAATTAATTGGGCACAGCAGAGCTTTATCGGTCAGCATTTACTGGGTCCTATGGGGTTAAGATAAAGCTCCTGTCTGGCTAATATTATTATAGGTTAAATAAACTTTGTAGATATAGTGTTCACTTAAAATTGAGCCCAGTTCCTATGATGATGCATTTTGGCTGCTGGTTAATTTGATATTGGTCAGACTGTTGTATATTATAACAAAGTGCATATTTAAATCTTTATCTTTTCACGCTTGTATATTTATGTATAAATGCAGTAGTATCTCTGCATATTCCAATTACCTACTTCTGTTTGGCACTGCTGGAACAGGAGCAGGGCATATTTCTTGTTACTGTATATACTATTTTATATTGTCAGCTATATGTATGAAGTAGTTAGCTTATATGTATTTTGGAAATGGAATGATCTAAAGTACGTAGTTATACTTATTTAAGCGTATGCGCACAATTTATGTAAAACTGTAGTTTAGAGAGCTTGTAAAATGTAACTGTACACATTTTAATGCTCAATAAATTATTATTATTATTATTATTATTATTATTATTATTATTATTATTATATACAGCTGTTTGGCTTTAAAGCTGTTTGTATTTCTTATTGCTATAAGATACTGGGAATGATTTGAGTATTCTTAATTTTTCCTCGATGTTTTTTAAAGGAAAGTTTAGATCTTGATACTGCATAAAGGTGGCAGTCTGTGGCTCTAGACAGGGATTAAAAAAGATTATAAATTGCACTGTATTTCAGCAGTTGTAATTCCAACTAGAAATATCAGAAAAATAGTATCTTCACGTCAACTTAGTTTCAAGCAAAATTTATATCTTTTGAATCAAGAGAAAAAGTTGGTATATTTTTCAAAGCAACATTTATTACATAAATTTCACCTTCATTAAAAGTGACACTTAACCATTTGCATTTGAGAAAGTGTTACATTAGAACCCTTGTAGGTAGGTGGTATGTATGTTGTACATAAGTAATGTCCAGATTAAGAATAAGATGTTTTTGGCATGGTAAAACTGTCAGTCCTTCAGTCTCAGACAGATAGAAAGCCTTTGGGACTGGTAAGAATGAGGTTCAAGTAAATTCTTTTGACTGAGAATAAATGTTTTTTTAATTTGTTATAAACCATATTCGCTTTTAAGTTTAATATAATTGAAATGTTAAAAACTGGTACTTATTCATTTGGTCTGACAGTGTCCATAACTTTTATAAGTTCATAACTAATGTGATTGAATTTCTAAAAATATAAAATAATGATTATTGGTAGTAAATATAGTTATTTCCACTTCTAAATATGAAATAATAACAGTACTTATGTTGAGTAAATAAAAAATATATATATATGAATTTATATACATTAATTTTTTAAAAATGAAATAATACTCATCATAATTTTTAAAAACAAATCAATGGCAATAACTATCCCCAAATGGATAAACTTATTATTTGTCATCTGCATTTAATTACCATACACTGTATATGGAACATTCCAAATTTAATGGAAAAGTTTTGTGTACTGATGCACACCAATGTTGTTACACCTTATTTATTATTACTTAATAACCAGGTTATGTTCTCTTACATGTAGCAGATATGAATAAATACACAGATATATCTTAATAATAAACTACAGTATAAAAACTATACAACATTAATTAAAGTAGATAATAATTATTTATACCATTAGTTTCTTCAGTTTCAGCAAGGCTATATATATATAATTAAGGAAACACTAAAAATATTTCCTATTGATTTGAATATACCTGTCTATAGTAATATAGACATTTGAACACCCAACTGCTATTTATTATGTAACCAAATAAATGTATAAATGTATGCGTGTTCAGATACAAATTCACATTAAACACTCTCCAACATAAAGTTCTAACAATAAAGTTTACTATCAAGTATAAAAAAGAAAATACATTTCAACTCTTCAGTTGTGAAAAAAATTCATATAGGCAATATAGATCAGGTCCGTAGCCAGTAGTTTGATAAGGGAGGGGCTATTTTTCTGAAAAAAAAAAAAAATGGCTGTTTGTTCTAACCACCTGAAATTAATCCCCTGGCTATGGACCTGTAGATTTATTTAAAATGAAAACCTTTGTTACACCAGCACTCAATAGTTTAATTATCAGTTTATGAACTGTCAGAATTATCTTACTGATACAATGACCTCTTGTTAATACATAGTGTTTTCAGTCTATGGTGTTTGTGTTCCCACTCTGGTTCTCACCAGCAGAAATCCAGTGTAGGCTCAGATCAATATCCTGTTGTTGTTGTTTTTTTTTTTTGCTTCAATCTCACATCCCCATGTAGGGGCATATAGTGTACACTTTCATGATGAGACCGGTTGCAGAAATGAATAGAGAATATGAACTACCATAACTATAATTATTCATGTCTTTCTGCAATTTCATATCCCCATGCAGTGACACATAGGTGTACACTCTTAATAATGATGGGGTGCATACAGAATTAAAATTAAATATCTAAAATATTATAAAGAAAATAATCTTATATTTGCCACCAAATCACATAGTTCCATGTTCTTTTATCTCAGGATATTTACACATACAGAATGCATAATGAATCCTTTAGGGGAGGGGGGGGGGGGG